TTTTCAATCAAACAATTTTATTTTTCAACATTAATATCGCGCGTTATACAGCATCAGAACATGCAGAGTGCCCCTTGTTTTTAGGAGTAATAACACCTGTTCGAGTGGAGGAGCCCAAAGACAACCTAAAATTCATGGGGAAACAACACACGTGAGACATATCAAGGCCAGGTCGCCTCGTGATAAAGAATGATTTGATATTGGCATGTACACAAATTATCATATAACATGCGGTGTTATACAAGCATTTCCAGCTCTGAAAAAAGCCGTAACAAGACAAGTGAAAACATACGATAGTTTTTCACGTGTCTATCTGGCGCCCATGTATCATCCTCTATTTAACAATCTGCGGTCTTTCCTTACACTTAGTAGCACGGAAAGCCGCAAAACTCTTGAACAAAGGCTCATCTTTCAAACCGGCAGTCTAAATCCCACAGGTATCAACAAACGCTTTTTATTCCACTAATTTATTCGTGTTTTTCTCGTTGCCATGTTCCCACCAATCACGTAGCTCCATTTTCTGCCTTTAAAAGCACACACAACCCACAATTCCTCAATTCCTCTATTCGCTCCGACGAAGGGCTAACGCTTGAAACGTCAGCTTTTATAACCGTTACGGTGACCAATTTACCATTTCAACTTTGTTGATATATTTAAATAAAATTCGGCCGTTTCGAGGGGAAATCGTGTATGATTCAATTGAAACGCATTAGAGTCAAAATGCTACCAGTTTTGCCTCTACTTACCCTATACTGCCATTCAGAAGCTTTTGAGCATTGAAGATTAATAGTCGAGAAAATTGCAGCAAAACTTGATTATACTCAAAAAACGTCTTTTGCACAGTGAACTGGAGTTTTGTTACAGTATCTATTCACGTGGCCTCGAACTATTCCTCATTAATGAAATGATTATATAAAATTAAAGGCGGCATAGGGGCCACAACTTTAGGATAGGCCTTTTATAAAATCTCATTAAGATTAGGTTTAAAAGTGAAATTATCATCTAAGGCAACGCCTTAGATCATTTCTTAAATTAAAGTCGAATTTTTCCTGAGATCTACCCGACGTCATTGCTTGTGTTTTGGACGCATTCACTTGGAGAAGATTGCTGGAAAACCATGTATAAATAGCTTCAATGTCCTTGTTCAGTAGAAATTCGAGAACAACAGGGGATTCATCAGAGCCATATTGGGTTACGTCATCTGCATGTAGTCGGAGAGGGGAGATATTGACATTTGAATTGTTGACATCGTTAACGAACATGTTAAACAGTAATGGGCTCACTTCGGACTGGTAGCCAATCAGAATAGGTACTGTTACACTTTACTCTTTGTTTACGATCAGAAAGGTAAGATCGAATAGATTCAGCAAGAAGAAAATTGTGGTAAATGGAATCAAAAGCCTTTGACTGGTCAATAGCAATTACTCCAACTTCCTTTTCATGGTCAAGTGTTACCACCTATCATCAGTAATCTCTTACGAGAGAAAAGCAACAGTCGCTTCGTAGAAAACTGGACTTGAAGAATAAAGCGGAGAAACTTGGGTATATAGCTGTTTGTACTTTACCTTTGCGAACAGGTTCCCTTGACGATTGAAGGTTAATTTTTTGGAATGTCGTTTATAAAACGACCTAAACGCGCGAATTTGGCTGTAATGTTTCATAATGACGCGTTTGTAAAGAACTGTTAATTTATAGCACCTTTTATTAATAAATGACTAACGTTTTACGACACCGGAAGTGTTTCCACACTGGAGGTCAGTATTTATTAAAGTTTTGCGATATATCAAAACTTTTATTTATAAACAACAGAACTTGACCCCATTTAAGGCAATCGTTTAATTCTTAATTAAGGATATCTGAAACATTTAACGGCTAACATTGCCTTGCTTATTTGACGGTTGACGGTAAAAAAAAATTGTGTTTTTGACGGTTGACGGTTAATATTTTGGCCATTTGACGGTTTACGGTTAACCCCATTGAGACCCTCTTTCCAGTCTACTGGCCAGGGGCCCGTTTCTCGAAAGTCCCATTAATTTAACGGGCCCGATGCCATATTTTAAATTCAGAATTTAAAGGATAGAAAAGCAGGTTCTAGCACACAAATTAGTCCATTTTGTTTCTTAAGCTGATGGTTTTATTGCATCATATTAAAAGATTTTAAAATCCCCATATTGAATGAGATCAGAACAGCTTTACGGGCCATTAAGTTACCGGGACTTTCGACAAACGGGCCCCAGGTCCTAGTTTTGATGCAATAATTGAATAATTTAGTTGATGAGGAAGCTATAACTGGCGCTGAAAGCTTTAAAATGAAATAAATAAAAGCTTAAGGACCCTATACTGCTCATGGATCTTAAGATTCTTTATTTGCTCTTGAAGAAGACAATATTATACGAAAAGGTACACAATGATAGCGTCGTTCTTTTCTCTTCACAAGCGGTACTTTTGCGAAGAGCCTAAGTATTAGTCTTAATAGTCAGGCGAGGTAAAAGGTTGTTGTCCAAATGGTCCTTCTGTTCCACCATAAAATATTAACAGTTCGCCGTACCCATATCTTTAAATCCCAAATCTCCGGTCCGATAGTTTAAAAATATGAATGTCGGACCGCGCAGGACCGGCTAGAAACATAATCAGATTGGTTGATTTTAGTCTTTACTTTGGTGTTGTGTTACAAAGGAGCTAAAATGTGACGCTATTGACAATCGGAATATATTTGATATGCAGAGTATTGAATATAGAAGGTAATTCATTTCACTTTCGTCAACGAAGTTTATCAACATCATACTAATACAGTATTTGATGTTTTAGAAAGCTATCCAACAGCGTTCGATAACGAGGTGTCATTTTTCAGGTAATGAAGTCTCAACAGCGACAGACTGCTACTTGTGGACTTTTCGCTTCTTTTTTTCACTTTGTTCAACACCCACTAAATGGTCGTTTGTACACATGAATTTTTTTCCATATGCGTTTATTATATTCTTCCTCACGCAAACGACCATAGAGCGATATTTTTGTCAACATAGGCCATAAAGCCGTTGGTTGCTAAATCTAAGCAGTCAATCTTCGCGTTCTGGTGTATTTGTCACAAATAATGGACGTGTCATTAGTACTTCGATTGCTTTCTTTCAACTGCTTTCTGAGATAACAATCCTATCTTGCAATCTCCAGCAGCTGTTCATTTCACCTACCACTGAACATCAAGATGCATGGACGGAAACTTTCTTGTAATGTTAAAATGCGCGAGGACTGATATTCTGAATTCCATTCGAAAATTGATTATTGATTAATTGGACAGATTTCTAGAGCAAGTTTTTATCAATTTCCAAATATAAAAAGCGCTAAAAGCCAACAGTCACATCTTCAATTAATGTTCAAGGTGTAATATTGTTCGATCCTAGTAATAAACAGATCGGCTTCCCTGCTCCCGTATGTCGTCATTAAGTTGTCACTAAAAACACCAAAATAGGTCATTAATAATTAACGTAAAGAATAAATTATGTGAGTATAAGGCTCGTTTTTAGTACTTCTCTTTGCTTTTGAAAATTACATTCTATTGTAGTTAACCCTAAATGACATTTTTCGGCTTCTGTTTGAAAACATTGTTTACCTGTTGGCAAGAAATTTTAATTTGGAAAAAAAAAGAGATTACTTATCTGAGTACAGTTTGTTCATGCCGTTTGTAGCGGACTTCGTCCGCTTGTTCATGTTTGGAGAACGCTTTATGAAGCTTTTAGACTCAGTACAATCTTATTAGGAGAAATATTAGAGACAAGCAAGGCGAATACATTATCAGATAACATGACAATCGCCATTTTCCGTTGTCCTTTTGTGAAGTTTCTGTGACAAAACAATCGTCTACTGGAACCTAAAAGCTTGGATTAGGGTCGAAACTGTCAAAGTAGATAAAGGCGTCAGGAAGCGTTTGGGATTAAGTGTCAGCTATTTCATTTGCACCTCAAAAACAGCGTCTTTCAACTCTAGCAGTGGGGTGGAGTTTATTTTCTCAGGGTGTTAAACCCCATTCTTGATCAAAGGTACCGAAAGGCCATTTAGTCGACAAAATTCCAAATTTTAAAGTTTTCTTCTCCTATTATACATGCTAACATTTACTTGTTGAAGATCATTGTTGAATCAACACTAAGGGAAAAAATTATTTGGCCAGTCGATTCCGAATACGATTTTAACTATTTTTGACTAATAATAAACCCTGATTTGTTTCCAGCCAATTACATCGGTCTAGAAGTGTCAGAATAATTCATCGAACTTTCCGTAAAGCGTCGGATCATCTTTTGGTGCATATCCCTGCTAAGATTACTTCTGTACATCAGCTGCAGTTACAAAGTTCAAGAGTCGAGCAAACAAAGACATATCAAGTTTATCCCGCATATTGTTAACAGAAGTATTTTCGAAACTCGGAAGACAGTGTAGGATAATATGGATAGTTCAAATGTGACAAACAATAACACTTTTGAAAATGGCACATCGAAACCTGATTTGTTCTGCTCATCCGCAAGTCCTAACACGGACTTAAGTAAAGCCTTGAAGACGATTTCTTTCTGCTTTATTATCCTTGCATCTCTCTTTGGGAATACTTTGGTTATATTGGTGGTGTACAAGAAAAAACGAATGAGGACAACAACCAATATCATTATAGTAAACATGGCTGTTAGTGACATGATCTTTGCAGTCTTCACTACTCCTCCGTCCATCCGAACAATTTACGTTGGAGATTATTTGTTGGTTCGTGGGATAACAGCTGACCTGATTTGCAAGCTTGTCACCTTCATCCAGCAAGCCTCTCTAGCGGTTTCCATATTATCTCTTACCGCTATCGCCTTTGATCGTTTCTTCGCCATCCTATTTCCGTTTCGAAAAATCATCAACCGCCGGACAACAAAAGTCCTCGTCGCTCTTACGTGGCTGGTAGGTGCCGTGTTCACAGCTCCTATTCTTTATACCAACAGGACTGTCGTGGACGACGGAAGCAACAAAGTTACATGTCAGGAAGTCTGGGAGCCTCTTTTCAACAGCAGCAAAGCTAGGAGTGATTACACTTTCGTCCATTTTGGCTTCCTCTACGCGGGACCACTCACAGTTATAGGAGTACTTTACACGGCAATCGTTCTTGAGTTATGGCGAGGGAATTCGGTCAAATTTCGTGCCAAGGCCAACTATCAAGAAGTCGAGAAATCAAACAAGAAAGTGCTAAAAATGCTTGTCACGGTAATTGTAGTTTTCGCACTTTTTTGGCTCCCGGTATACATATTTCAATTCCTAGTTTACACTGGTAATAGGACTTGTACCGTTGATGGGGTGATTCTGTTTATTGGATATTTTCTGTGCCAAGCCACAAGCGCTGTAAATCCGTTCATCTACGCAATCTATAGCGAGAATTATCGTAGTGGGTTCAAAGCTGTCTTACGCAACCTGGTTTATTGTCAAGGTAGACAGCTCTTTCGCAGAGAATCATCAAGAGGAGAAAGTTTAAGTGTCCGGCGTGAAAAAAAGGTAGAGTTGTACTTTCTGTAATACATATGACTGAATAATTGTTTAGTAGCCGAGGAGTCTTTCTCGAAAACAGGTTTTCCTCTCCGCGTAATTAATTTTCCTTAAAAGCTGTCAGACTGTACTGACATAAGTGAACCAAATAATTATTCTGTTTACCATAATATGCAGGCCTTTCTTATACGTTATAGACGTTTGCGATGACTTCGTTTCCTTTTACTGGAGTGATTCTCTTTCACATGCACTAGAGTTAACTGGTCGAAGCCTCTTTCAACATTGATGTAAGCCGGCTGTAAATAGCACATTAGCACATTCGTTTGATTGAATATAAAATTATATTCCAATTGCATCTAGCTACTAAAAGATTTCCTGAAGGATTAAATATTCAGAGGATCTACTTCAGGCACTGCAAGATTTAATAAATACGAGTTGGCCGCAATACATATTAAACTCGCAGTGGTGTGTACAAATGATTGATAAATGTTTAACCAGACTGCGCAAATTAACTCTCATCCAATATCCGCAGTTCCGTGGATTTAATATGAAATTCCAATTTATCTCACTGCGCAAAGATTGCAATCAGAACGTGCGTGAATATAAATCACTACAGAAAGAAAGAAATGGTAGCAAGCAAACTTTACAGTCTCAATTAGTAACAAAATTTAGCAAAAAGTTGATCCACAAATCAAACCCTACCTTTACCTTTATTGCACACAGTACCACTGTTAAAATTTAATCTTTCGATAGTTTGTTTATTCCTTCGTTTCGCGGTTCTGTTCTTTCGAACATGTTCGTGCTCTCATACCCCCACTAATGTTTTTATTCCTTTCTCTTGTGTTCTCGTTTCCTCCTTCCGTCGTTCTTCTGTCCTTTGCTATTAGTTCCTTTCGTTCCCTTGAACCTTGGTTTTTTTGTCTGCAAACTAAAGTGAAGCTATCTTCTAGTGATGTTAGAATTAGAAGCTACAGCTGAAAAGCCAACTTGAAGAACCATACAGGTTCTTTATATTTGCTCTTGTTGTTAACTCGCATTCTACTCATATTTAAAAAATGTACCGCTGAGAATCAATTTTTGAAAACGATACTCAGCTTGCTCGGTAAGTAATTTCGAAAAAAAAAAGGTCAAAAACAGCGATAAAGACGATTTCAGTCTAGTGGAGGACCTGCTAAGCACTACTACTTCGAGGTAAATCAGCTCAGGCTACCGAAGTGTATCGAGATATATCAGAGAAAAGAAACCTAAGTTGAGATTGAAGGTATGAGGGTTGATAAAGTAAAGAAAAGCCGCGAAGAAACTAGTTTCAGTGTTCTTTCCTCAAAAGTGATAGCAAGGCTTTTCGTCTGATTTATTCGGATATTACTGTAGTAACTACTATGACGGGGAAACCATAACAAGCCTTACCATGTATTCAACAAATACCTCGTTCATGATTGGTCAGTGATAGATGCATCAATTATAAGTTGCAGAGGGAAACACGGTATACAAGTATTACACTCAAAATTTCCCCTTCCGTTTAAAATGAATATAAAGAAAGGTAACCTTTAAAACACAAGGAAAAATTTCAGGTTAGTTCTGTTTGTGACAGCTCACTGCTATGACTTGTTCAACAATAACACAGAGGCATTTCCCAAACTACTGAGAGGTGCTTTAAGTTATGTCTACGGAGCACCAACATAATTTCGGTAGTGATTTGTTGACACTACAGCAAACAAATAATTGCAGAAACTGCTAGCACCCTCCATGAATTATGGTCACGCGTGATCTTAAGAAGGTTTTCAAGTTACACTCGTCTACGGCTCGATTAATCACGTAGGCCTTCAAGACACATCAAGTGCCAATAAATTAAAAAACAAATCTCGTTCATGCGATTTCAGGACTTATTCGTCTTTTCTTTTACTAGAGGTAACACGTCCCAGTTTTCAGATTGTATATCACCGATTTTAAAAGATGAAAAAACTAACCTAATATCGGTAATATGTTTTGTTTGCGGGCTAGAATGCCTGCTATGTTGGCGAAACTTCTCCATACAATACAATATAATTTATTCATGATGATTTGGAATAAGAAAATAAAAGTGAGTAAAATACATTATGAAAAGGAACGGGAGGTTCACCCTATAACATTTCCTAGAAAGAATAAATGAGTAAAAAAAGAAAAATATCACTGAACTTAAGGTTATTTAAGCCAAAAACAATTTTGCAGCATTCTATAAGTGAAATGAAATGTCTCCGCTTCACTAAAGTGGGCCATGTTCAAAATTTTGATACGTTCTTCATATTCCCTTTGCCCACGCTTTTGTCCATGCCCAAGGCGAGATGCCCTCTCGGTATTTTTCACAAGCGTGGGTGGTCTCCTTAAACACTTGGTTAGTGAGAGGACCTCATACATTTGCAAAATTATTAGCAATTCCTCACTTTATGTTTAAATGATTGTTTCAGAATACATATTCTAAATCACACCTTCCAGTTTAAGAGTCAAAGACGCTATACAAAACCCGCACTAAATCATCAACTTTATCATGTTAATTTAACACTTTCTTTATTGATAATTGCGCTGATATGTCCAATTAACATTCTGTGTACACCATAATGATCCTGTCAGCCATACCCGTATTCAGTTGTTACCATCTGTGCTGATGGCATCAAAAGCACACTGTTGTGGGAAAAAAAATGGTGGTTTTTCCCTGTGGTTGTTTAAGCATACTTATTCGTTGTTTTCGGCAGTTTAGCGTTCTCAATTCATGCGAGTTTCTTTCATTGTGATGTTTCAAAAGATAAAAAGCTACAGTAGATTTTGAATAGCCAAGTTCAATTGTATATCTGCATCTCGGTACTTTTCTTATTCAATTCTAGTTCAATTGTATATCTGCATCTCGGTACTTTACTTATTCAATTCTAGTTCAATTGTATATCTGCATCTCGGTACTTTTCTTATTCAATTCTAGTGAAATTGATGCAAAATTGATGCTGATGGTGAGTTGGTAGCTGAGTTTATACTCGTTCGTAACTTCACTTTTCTTTCATACGATCAAACTTAACACCAACCTTGCTTAGATAAGCGGAAACTTTTAATCGTATTTTTCAACTAGTTCAATTGTATATCTGCATCTCGGTACTTTTCTTATTCAATTCTAGGTCAATTGTATATCTGCATCTCGGTACTTTTCTTATTTAATTCTAGTTCAATTGTATATCTGCATCTCGGTACTTTACTTATTCAATTCTAGTTCAATTGTAAATCTGCATCTCGGTACTTTTCTTATTCAATTCTAGTTCAATTGTATATCTGCATCTCGGTACTTTTCTTATTCAATTCTAGTGAAATTGATGCAAAATTGATGCTGATGGTGAGTTGGTAGCTGAGTTTATACTCGTTCGTAACTTCACTTTTCTTTCATACGATCAAACTTAACACCAACCTTGCTTAGATAAGCGGAAACTTTTAATCGTATTTTTCATTTTATTTTATTAGCTGCTCTGTTGTGGTTACCATGGGTATATTTTTAATATCAAAGCTGTGAATTCTCACCTAAGTTTCTTATTATCAATGGTACAGTGATACAGTGATACAGTGTTGTTTTTTACAGCTAAAACTGGTATTGAGTTAGAAGCAAGCCTAAACAATGATAGTAACCGTATTTCTTCGTGGATGCAAGAAAATAAGCCGTTTTTGAATATGAGCAAGACTGAATATTTAATATATGGCTCACATCAACGGCTTAAGCGGGAGGATAGTATAAGCTTATCGTGCAATGGATCTTCCTTGACAAAATCCGAGTCTTTCAAATATCTTGGCGTTGTAATTGGTCAGCACTTGAGTTTTAACAACCATACTGAACACGTGGTCAATAAGGTCTCAAGGAAATTGGGTGTTTTAGGCGTTTGAGAATTTCTATTCCCATGGCTGCTGCTGAACGCCTTTATAAGACGATGATTTTACCTGTTTTTGATTACTGTGATGTGGCCTGGCACGATTGTGGTTAAGTTAATTCTGATGTACTCGAGAGCTTACAGCATAGAGCTGCAAAGTTAATTTTTCCAAATTCTGTTCTTGATACTAAAGAGCTGAATGGTACTTTGGGTCTAGTACCCTTGATTAATAGACGAAAACTTCATATTGTCTTGTTAGCTGGAAAATGCCTTGATGGCTCAGTACGGCCTTATCTGAATAACTATTTTAAATCAAATACTTCTGTACACACATTTGCGACTAGACGCTGTAATGACATTCATCTTCCAAAAAAAGTCGACCTTGAGGTCGGCAAGAAATCTTTTTATTTCACAGGCGCGTTGGAATTTAACAGTCTCCTTCGCCATATTAAAGCAAAAGAACCTTTATTGAATTCTCAAACGAAAGACTTTTTCCTAAATTATTAGATGTTTTCGTGTAGATGTACATCTCTTTTTATTGATGTCGGCCATGCAACAGTTTTTCTTAGTGCTTTTTACCTTTTAGACTTTTTGTATTTTTTAATAAGTATTTTAATAACAGGACCCCCATTGATACCACTGCTTAGTACACTGAAGGGGTTATTCCACTGAAGGGGTTATTCCACCCTCATGCTGACTCCTATCGTGAGAAGACACCTGAGCAAGTCTTTAAAAAGCACGAAAATGAGAAGAAATGAAAGTATGCCAGTAGAGTATTGGAAATAGAGCAAGGATCCTTTACGCCCCTAATCGTTAGTACCATCGGAGGGATGGGCGCTGAATGCAAAATTTACCATAAACGCACATCCATTAAGAAATGTGAAACATACTCTACCACTATGTCCTGGATTAGAGCCAAAATCTCTTTTGCGCTCTTACGATGCGCCCTCTTATGCTTAAGAGGTACAAGAAAGAAGAGAAGAACATTTGAGACATTCGATACAGTTTTTTTAATTGAAAATATGGAAAATATAGGCTAGACATTTTTAAAATTTGCTTTTACAGTTTTTTAGAGTAAGAATGTCATTTCCCTTCTCATATATTTATGCCTTTTCTCCCTTATAAATTATATGAACAACCCAAATATGCTGCCTTGCCTGAGCTGTGTTTACTGGGAAAAATTATAACCAATCAACAATTGGAGTAAATGGCTATGGGCAAAATCCCACAGCCGCATTTATTTAAAATTACTGTTCGATCAAATCCTTGATACAAAGTTTGGCCCACTAAAGGTGAGGGCACTGAAAACGCCAAAAAATACATTATAATGATCTGAAAATGAGGAGTGGCTGGGACAAGGGGAGGAGCAGGGATGAAAAACCACGTCTTTAATCACGATCAAGATGGAACGGAGTGACGCTCACATGGGAGCCTGGTCACTTGGCAAGCACAAGTATCCTAAAGGGTATTGGGTATAAT